GTGGTGGCAAAGTGCACAAGACATATGCGTCGAAGTCGGGCGGTGCCGGAGTTCGATCCTGGTTCGACAACAGTCTTTGTTTTGATTCAGTTGAACAAGGGATTTACTGCAAGTTCCTTCTGAGCTGGATTGCTCGATCGGTAGAGCGACGGAGTATTTGCCGGATTCATGCCCCTGTCGGCATCAGTCAACTTTTCTTCGTTTCGAGGTTGATAAATGAGTACCATTAAGTGGGAAGGAAATAGGAGAGCAGACACTATGCTCGCCACATGACTGCTGTCAACTATACTTTTAAAAGAAGGTATTTCTGGCTGATGGCATAAAAATGAACATCTGAATCTTCACCATTAACTTCATGTGAAAAGGGCGCCAGAGTGGCCACATCATGAGAGTTTATGATGGACTGGCAGTCGAACGGTTGCAAACATTGCTTCTTGGCACCGCTCTCAGCAAAGTCGAGAAGCAGTGGGAGAATATGTCCGGAATCGTGCAGCAGTTCCTGTCAAGCAAGGACGTTCCTGCTGATATTGACATGCGCATAAAGTAGGCACTGATCGTCCAGTTCAGCGGTAACGTCAACCGTGACAAAGGATACGAACTCTGCGCGGATTGGATGAACCTCGTTGCCCCTTTCACCCAGAAACTGTTTAACCAGCAGCATGGACCAAGCGCTTGCCTTCTGGCTCTGAAACAATCGACTACTACGAACGACCTATCGCATTCACGAAATTTAACACCAGCCAACCTTGAAGAAGCCCCATTTGACACAGGCCGAAATATTGGTTTTGGGTAGTCGCCGGACTACAGTATCTTATATTGACCGCGTTTAACGCTATTTTTTCAAGATTGCTTTATTAATTCCGATGAATACTGATCTTTTGTTGGACGACGTCTCGTGCTGGTGTTTATGAATGAATACTAGGATACTAATACATAGGATCAACTTATGGGAACAACTGTTTGCGCTGACCTCGTAGCATTGCTTACTCGTGGCGATTAAACGTGGCGGTTGCTTTCTTTGCCGTAAAAACACCACTTCGATCCACTTAGCACACAAAAAACTGCCGACGAAACTCATTTGTTCCGATCCGATCGTCGATGAGTTTGTTCCGGTCGTTTTATGGTCGTATGCGCCACGGCCACTAGAACGAACTTCTAATATTGTTAGTTTTTTCTTATGAATTTTTTATGGACGGGACGCGAAAGCCTTTTCAAAATGCCAACTGCTTTCTGCCTGTGATGATGATATGCCTTTCTTGCGCTTTCCGGTAAGCGACGAGTGAGGTGTGGGTGGTTGGTTGTACAGTGACCATCTTCGAATTACGAACGAGGGACGATGTATGTTTTTCCGCGAATTCCCTTTAACAAGAATTCTACCTCAAGACTGTATCTGTTGTGGTACAACCTACCGTAAAACGAATAGCAATAAGATGACTTATGAACAACAGGGGCAGCATAATAAGGTTGAAAAGTGGAAAATTTGCTGGAATTGATAAAATCGGTCCTGAAATGCTCAAAGCAACAGGCGAACAACTCAAGTGCTGGCTTACACGTGCCTGTTAAATTGTAATGGCCACAAAGTAGCCAGCAACATAGTAGACAAGGAGGGTTGTTGTACCCCTGTTCAAGAAGGGAGACCACGGAATACTCGAAATATCGGGACATTACGTTATTCAGCCTCCCGAGTAAAGTCTACGGAAAGTTGCTAAAACGAGCTGCCGCCGAGTAGCTTACTCCGAAATTCAAGAAGAGTAGTCTGGCTTCCAGCCCGCCCCGAGCATATCTGACCAGATATTCGCCCTTCGCCAGACTGTTAAGAAATCGCGGGAGTTCGCCCATCCGGTTTGTATGTGCTTTGCGGACCTAGAAAAAGCCTATGACCGAATGCCCAGTTTCTACGGGCTATAAAATCACTACATGCTGAGAGCAGGTGTTGCGTCAGAGAAAATAGAGTTAAGTCGAAACCGTTCAGTGTTGGCACTGGTCTTCTCCAATGCTACCTTATATCCCCTTTCTTGTTTGTGTTGTACATGGATGCAATAGTCAGGCACAGTCAGGGTGATGAGTGTATCGGTGTAGGAGATGTGGAGACGAGAAGGTTGCTGTATTCAGACGACCTTGTTTTATTAGCATCTTCTGAAACTGATCCACAGTGCTCTTTGTAAACGTTTGCAGCCAAGTGCGGTATTGCCTTGCGCGGGTGAAGGTGTCTGAAAGAAAAAGCCGATTGCTTTCTTGTTTTCCTGTCATTTGCGTTCTGCAGATAGACGGACTGGTAGCGGAGCAGTTAGAGAAACTTATGTACATCGGGATCGTGTTTACCGGTTACTGAAAATGGGAAGAAGTGATGGGCATTTTGTTTGAGTTAGCTCGAAGCATTGTGATTAAAGCAGAGCTAAATATAAAGACTAAGCTTTCGATGTTCAAGCCGATCTTCGTTCCCATGCTTTACATGACTCACGACCGAAAAATGCGTCTCGATTTGGTCCGGAATACAGACTTCTGCGAGAACCTTGGTGTACAGCCGCTGCTTCTTCAGAATGAAAAGTCACCGCTGCGATGGTTTGGGCATGTGTTGCGAATGCCTCCAGAAAAGAAGGCTAAGAAACGGTTTCTTGCCAAGCCGACCGGCAGAAGGATAGGAAATGGCCAGGATTAACCTGGTGCAAGTATGTGGAAGGAGTTTGCTCGAGACTCCAGTTGTCTTCTGCCGAAGCTTAGACTCTGATACAGAATCAGGAACGTTGGAAACATCGTCTCTCTGTCTGTCTCGGCGATTCGAAGGACAAGCGGTCATGAAAGATGAAGATGAGGGACTCATCTCAAGGAGTGACAGTAGTTTATCAGGTTTTGAAGAGCAAGATGGGGGATCGGGTCGGGTTCAGCTTCTGCCCGTAGCGTTTAGACCTCGAAACACGTAAAGTGTCGGCTAAACGACCTTGTTCCAAGACAATTCAGTAACAAAGAAATGCTGGCCTAAAAGCTGACCCAACAACGGCGGTAGTTGGCTTTTGAACACTTCTGCGCACTCATTCACTTATTCTCTTTCTTCGCTCCCTGACATACATTCACTCATTCATTCCGTGTGCTAATTTGTACTCTGTTACTTACTCACGCGCATCTTTATTTATTCACACTCTGTCGATCCTTCAGACACCTACACCGGATGGGTGCCTATGCGCGCACAGAAAGAAGAGGACAGAAATTTAAAGCGAAATGGTAGGAATGAAAAAATTGACTTTAGAAAAATAAGAATGAACAATTGATGAAGGAGCGAAGGGAAGATTAAAGTAAAAAGGTCTGAAATAAGAAAAGCGGAAAGAGTGAAAACGGTCAAGGAATAAGTAGCTGAAATATGAATTAAAGAGGTAAAGGAAAGAGCAGTATGAAGAAAAGGATGAAATGACCATAAAAAAGCAACGAGAAGAGTCGATAGAGAAAAATGAAAAGTAAAATAATCCGAACTCGTATAACAGCACGTGAAGGAAAGTTAAAGGTAGACAAAGACGAAGAAAACCGGCAGGAGCAAACACAGCAGCACCCTTCTTCGGGACAGTAAATTAGTACGGCACGTAACATTCGAAACGTTGATAATTATGTAATAAATATTTCGTTATTACATAATGAAATCAGCGTTAGTCTGATTCGAAAGCCACTGAATCAGGAAACAGGAAAATTTATTAATATTTAATTTGGTTATTTGTTTAATATTTCATAGCATGAAAATTTGGGGTCTGCTATGTTTTTGCTCGATCGGGCATCGCTGGAGTAGAGATACATTACATCGGGTTCGAAGAGAAAGTAAACGACACATTGGAAGAGTTTCAGATCAGTGGAGTTATGGCTTAAAGAGATATATTGGGCGAAGTTGGATAAGCATCGCAGAAAGCAAAAGTCGACTACGAAATCTCACAGAAGCTGCGTCGTAGGAGCCGATGATAAGAAAATATGAATAACGAAATTTGCATAGAATAACTTACATCTCTGAAGGATGGATATCAGAGCCGAAGGAAAGTATCTAAAACAAGCCAATAAAGCGGATGGTAAATTTTAAAAGTTTAATGTACCTCACATGTGGTTCACCAATCTTGAGAAGTCGCTTCATCCAGTCGTGTTGCGAAACAGATTAATGATGAGTGAAAAGTTCATTGTTGTAGTGCTGATAAAGGATTAGCGAGCGTATCAGAGTTCCGGAAGGTTTGTTAAATATTTCATTGGTAGGGTTTGTACGGTTTATATATCTGTAATATCTTCTGTCACTTTCTTGTAGCATCTGGAGTTATCGCATTTTGTTACGGTTTGCACAGCCGTATTATTTGTAGCCCTTTGGATATGAATCGTCTGTTTTTCTATTTGTTGAGGCAGTTTTATAGTATGAGTTGAACGTTGAACTTTTGTCTCTTAATTGGTCTCATTATTTTCTTTAAACAGACTGTCGGTTGTAGATTATTGTCTTTAACACTATCCTGTAGGTAGGTAAAATTTCGGACGTATATACCGTTGGTTGAAAGCTGGTATTTTTTGCGTATCCTAAGATGGAATGAATTGCTGCTGGCCGGCCGGTGCGGAAGAAAATGAACAAACGACGAAGTTTTTGCGCAACTGACATGACATTGTCCCCATCCGCGTGGACACGGTTGTGCGCACGGCCGCGAAGAATTCTTGTTTGACGTGTGAATGCACGCGACGTGTATTTATGTCATTGGGTTAGGGGTTAGCGCGGTCGGAGATGACAACCATCGTCGGACGGTTGTGCGTTTCGAATCTTTACGTCGGCTTCAGCGGCTACTGCAGTGACCTCATGTACAGCAGCACCGTGCCTCTTCGTACTCGTTGCTCAAACGCAGACGTTGGCACGGCCTTTAGTTTTGTCCATATTTAGTCGGTACGGCTCTGCAAATAAACATCTTTCAACGGCCGGCCATTCAGCTATGGTGAAAGACTGATGACCGGCTGGACGGTGGTCATTCACTGAATGTACGAATATCGTCTTTCTGCAGATGGAGAAGGTTGCTTGTGCTGCGATTGCCGTATCGTCCTCCAGTCACTCACGGTTGAATGGCCACATAGTTGGTATCGAAGCTAGCTTGGAAATGAGCTTTGATCGGCAGCGTGACCGTTTCACAGCGTCCATCGTCTGCCTGACCATCATCATGCATTATAATAGTGATGTCGGTCTCATCGTCACGCAAATCGTCGACGTCGAATGGCAGATTGACGTATGGCCGGTTTCATGTCGTTTCATTTCGTTACGTTTTCTTTAGAATCCAGTCATTGATCGGCTCGGTAGCCTCCCGCATGAATCACCACCTTCAAGGTCGCTGAAACCTTCGTCAAGGTTTCGTTCACCGATACTGTGACCCAGCTGTTTTCTGCCGGCCCTTTTCCATAAACCACGGTTAAATCACCTCGACATGCAGTGGCAACGCGCCCGCCGAGACCTAAAACTCGACGACAGCTGTCGTTGATTGGTCGTTACAGTTTCTCGATCTGGCGTCTTTGAGGTAAGTTTCGTTTCTCCAAACAACTAGCTTTCGGCTATAATCTTTTGATGGCACTATGCCTGTTTCTGACACTGGAGTGATCGGAAGAAAATGTTACATGACTTACTCATTAACTATGGTAAGATGAAACAATGTCTGAAATTCCGGCTGACAGAAAAGAACATCCCGGCCTCGATTTCGCTACAGAAGCGGAAGTTACACACGATTATCAGCACAAACTATGTTCATGCCACCATAGACGAAAATTTATACTTCAATGCACAGGTAAAAAAACGGTTGATGAAAGTACAACGGTGCAACTGTAGCATTACAAACCTCAAACTGCAGCAGGGAACTATTTCTGAAATCCTGTGTACTTCCTTAACACGAAATGCTAAATACTCTTTCACGTATGCTTTGCTGGTATGCTTCTTCTTTCGTAAATTGTACTTAACGTAAACTTCGATCGGTTCTGAAAATTGTCCGTACAGGTCAGCAGGTCAGCTGTCCTAAATAAGTGTCATAAATACTGGGGTTTATCGGTTTGTTGCATTTACCGTAAAGTTTGGTATATCTGTTTTAGCCGATTTTTTTCATCTCCTGCACCTGGCTCTTTGAATATGCAGCTCAAGATCACAATCTGTCAGCATCTGAGCTAGGACTGAAATATACAGAAAATCTGTAATCCCACAGATGTAGGCTAGGACTGTGCTGAACGAAGAACGGAAAGGGCGCAATCTGTTCGAATCGATCGTCGAACTTATACATTTAAATATTCACCTGTATTAAATGTCACTAATTTCATGCTCTAATCTTCGTCTTATTGCTGCGTATTTTTTTGATTTTTTAGGCTGTATGCTTATTGTTATACTAAGGATTACTGATTGTTGAAATATTAGTCTGTGTTAGTTTTACATGCTCATTCGATCAGCGAACTCTTTTGATTGATTCACTGATTGACGTGGGCCTCACGGATTTATCACTTTAACGTACAGTTCTTTGGCTTTATTGTGCATTTGACTATCTATGGATGCATAGGTCTGGAGAACAGCTATCCCCACGATTTGAGAAGTGCATTAGCGTGTTGCATCAAGTAGGAAATGGCCTCTTGTATTGAATTAGTGGTTTGGTTGAACAGTGGACAGTGTATAAGCTTCGGCTGGTGGGTAGATTTTGTGGTGGTAAAGCTCACATATAAACCGATATGACAATGATGCGCGTATTTCAACGACATTACGCGTAGACCACCATTTAGCCCTTCTGACTGATGAAAGTCCAGCCTCTGTTGTTACCCTTTGCTTGTTGGGATTATTGCTTATGATCAGAAACCAAAAGCGATGGTGTGTCATTCCTTATTTTGAAATGGTGCTCGGTTGAGTTATGCAACGTGCTCACGGACATCTTTAACTACTGCTTTATAAACAGTGTCGTTCCACGCTCTTGGAGTGCATCGTCGGTGTCCCCACATCGAGCGAACAGGAACAGCCCGGCTCCAACAAAACTCTTAGACCGATTACGATTTGAACATTTGCTTAGGTGATCATTTCTGTTCCATCAGTTCGACCCCTTTCAAGATCCTTGAAAACTTGTTTGTAAAACCGGACGATGAACAATTCAGTTAGCTTAACTCTTGACGAATTAGAAAAAGACAAACGGATAATTCAGACGATGTTCCCTGACTTTTCATCAGCATTTAATACCGTCCCAAGTGAACAGATGCTTTGTTCAATTTGTGATTTTGCGATTAGGCGCCATTTTCAACAGATTCTTTCCGTGTACCTGTCTGAACGTAAACAGTTTATGAATTTATGAATGAATTTATGCATGTTAGCGGCATCAACTCACGATCTCGACGTTGCCGAATGTTTATCTTTGTGGCATGTAGTTCTCACCCTGT